ATTTCATGTGCCTCCTTGTCTCTTCTCCACCTTCCTCTGACCCCCAAATCAGTCTCAGTCTTAAATCACACACAGAAACAGTGATGGGCAGAAAGTTTGATGATCTTAAATAACTGAAACAGTTTATGGATAAAAACGATGAGCTGTTTAAAGATTCCTCCTCCTGCCACAGTTTGTGTATTCCAGATGTGAGCCACTGGTCTGTTATATGTTGAAGTTAAAAACACTTCGGAAACATGTGATACAACTAAAAGGAATTTCATTATCGTTCTGCTCATTTTGCAGCCCAGAAGATCTTGAGTTGGCTCTGAAGGAAAACAGCATGCCTTACCTGTTAGGAGTCAGAAATGGTATGCTGTCTTCCACCCATGCAAAGAAAAGCAGCATGTTGACATACTTGGAAAGTTATTTTTAAACCTCCTGTCTTGCTCGCAGGCTGTGTATGTGTTTGTTTGGGACCAGAAGCTTCAGTGAGTGACGAAATCAGAGCAATGTGCCAGGCGGTAGTACTCAGCAACATGCTGAGCTCGTCAAACTCCAGAGAAGCTACAGGGGCTGCACCGAAACAGCAAAGTGAGCCTCTACCTCTTTCCATGTTTATAAATAGACTGTTTAAATGTGCAGAACTGTAAAACTTACTCTTTTCTTTTTAGAAGGTCACTGGGAAATGGTGCACAAGAGTCACAAGCTGATGGATGCCATTTTCAATCCATTACTTAAGGGTGAGCACATGCAAAACTGCGTTAACTTACCAATCATCCTCTCTGATTCCTTTAGTGGAAGCATGATTCTGGAAATGTAACCTTCAGGTGCTGAAGCTGCAGGATGGGACATGAAACGAACCCTGATCGACTGGGATGAGTGGAGAGTCGAGTGGAAAACAAAAAGCAGCTGAGAAGCTTTAAATAAACAAAGGTGTTTTTAAGTATGCCTGATTTGATTCATTTAGCTGCCCCAACTCTCGAGAGAAAAATCGTTTATATGTTTACAAGAATAATATTTTATTAATTTTTATATTTTAAGTAATTAAAAAAAAAACCAGCAGATCACCACGGAGAAAATGATCTTGGAGCTTTTTTTTGTGGGTATTTTGAAGAAAATATCAAAGTACAGATGCAAAAACAAAACGTGATCCTCCTCCTGTGGAAGGGGCGGTATTAAACTGCCTTAACCAATCAAGGCACAACAAAGAAGAAGCAACAACATCCGGTGCAAAGCGGATATGTCAAGTTCGAAACATCGTTGAGTAAAATTAGAATTTAAATTCACTACTAGTACGTAAACACATAATAATAATAATAATAATAATAATAATAATAATACTTAGTTTTCTTACATGCCACAGGGCTATTTCTTATTTTGTTCTTAACTTTGTTTTTTTGTCATTAAAAAAAATGAAAAAGTAGATTAAAATACAAGTGAATTTACAAAATGAGACAAAAATCACTATAAGAGTAAATGTAAACATAATAGATACATAATTCAGTCCTCTCAGTCAATTTTAGTCTTAGTGAATTGTGGCTGTGTTTTAAAGTACATATATTTTTTAATGCCTAAATTCAATTTATTACATTACAGTAAGACAACAAGTGATTTTTATGGACAGATCTTTCTGGGGAAACCACAGTTGCTGAACGATAACACGAAATTGTAGACTTAACCCCCAAAAAGAAAAAGCTATTAGTTTAGGAGATCATTTCAAAGAAATATCACATTTATGGATCCAGCAAATTAATTTTCTGTAGTTTTCACCAT